GGTGTCGGTGTAAGCAGGGTTTAAATCACACCTGTCCTTCCAGGACTCCATACGACTCAAGCAACCAAAAGAAGTGAACACAGGTTTTGAAATCTTGGTATTTTTGGATTACACAAAGAGTTCTCAGGAAGCCAAGGCTGAGGACTCTCCTATGAGGTGGCTCCTGGCTCAGGACTCAGTCTGGGAGCTCGTTGCCATATCAGGAGATTGTCTGCTGCAGTGAGAGCCATCCCGTGGCCCAGGGCAGCCATATGTTAGTTTCCTGGGGACTCATTACCGGTTTTCAGCGTGTCCACAGAGACAGAGGGAGTCCCCTGAGCATTTAAGTGATTAACTCTCTGGTTCGGTAGCCCGACAGCACACCAGAGTCCCCAAGACAAGGTATTTTCCACCAGCTCCCTTGGTGGACATAACGGGAAGCCCCAGGAAGAAGCCTGGGTTTGGGTCACACCCTTGTGCAGGTGGTGAGTCAACCCTAAGGTTGGCTATCTGGGATACAGAAAGGAGGTCAGCCTGGGGTTTGCCAGCAGCAGTGTCAGGTGGGTTTGTGACAATTCTTCACAATGGACAAGAAAAGACAGTGGGGAGATTTGAATAGGAATGGTCCACATAGACTCACGTGTTTGAATGCTCGGTCCATCGAGAGTGGAGGAAGTGTGTCACTGTGGGGGCGGGCTTTGAGGTTTCATTTAATCTCAAGCTATACCCAGTGTGTTACACAGACTCCTTCTGCTGCCTGCAGATCAAGATGTAGAACTCTCAGCTCCTTCTCCAGCACCGTGTCTGCCTGCACGCCACCATGCTTCTTGCTATGACAATAATGGACTAGACCTCGGAAACTATAAGCCAGCCCCAATTAAATGTTTCCTTTACAAGAGTTGCAATGGAAGGGAATAGGGGGGTGGGGGAGTGGTTACCATGGTCATGGTGACTCTTCGAAGCAATAAAACCCCTAAGTAAGGCAGACAGTGTTCCTCGTCCTAATTGGTAGTTTGCAACTTAGGTGAACTTGGTAGTTTGGTTTGACCTTACCTTCTGTCACATGCTAATCTAGTGAGCATTCCTTCAGTGTGTTCTGACAGTCAGTATACACAGGCTCTGCACCATAAGGCATCAGTGAAAGGATGGTCTTCAGCCTTTGTGAGGCGAACCCCAGGTCCCTCTTATTAACAAATCTTGGCAGAGGCATTAGAAATAAGTTATAGAATTTATAATGTTTTCTGGGATTTATGGGCCTTTTATTCTTTTTCTTTTTAGACAAGGTCTTACTATGTAGCCTTGGATGGCCTGCAACTTGCTCTGATAGATGTAACTGCCTCCTAAGTCCTGGGATTAAAGGTGTGTACCATCACCCCAGGCTGATGCTTTTCACCTTGTAGAAATAATTAAGACTTGTCAATAGCCCTTCTCCAGACCCAATCATACAAAGGTACATGCATGTGCACACACACACACAGGACTGAAGATAGGGCTTTAATTACCCACCACAATCCTGTCATCTTTTTAATATAGAACTTGCTTTCAGGGAAACCAGGAGGCTAAGCAAGGCCCTAAAATCCTGATTAACCTCTGATTGGCAGGATCCCCATCCAAGTCCATTAGGCCTTTCCACACCGCTGCTCAGACCTGTCATTTGGTCCCTCAGCTAAGAGTTGATCCCTACTGTTTATCAGCCACTGTGCTGGTCACTAGTCACTTGATACACACACACACACACACACACACACACACAAGCAGGACCCTCTTAACCTTACTAATACTTAAGATCAAGCAAGGAAAACAAACACCAGTGTCAAACTACCACTGTGGTGAAGAAAAACATACAGAAGTCCTGTGAGGATGCAGGATGGGGGGGGAGCACACAGCTAACCATCGTCAGACCCCGGAGAACTCGGTCTTCATGAGCCTCAGACTGGGTTGGAGATGTGTAGGGCGCTGAGGAGCATGGTGAAGAGAGCATTCCAGAAGAAAATGAAATGGGCTAGGGTGGCGGGAAGCCACAGAGAACCTCGCACAGGCTCTGTGAGGTCGACACTGCTCACAGAGAGAGTGATGCTATTGCCCTCTTCGCTGGATTGATTGGCATTTGCACTGATGCCGTCGTGAAAGCCCCCGTGGGTAGAAATCCTGGTGCCTCTGTGCTAATGAAGGCAGGGGCGCCTGCTCACCCCGGCAGTCACTGTATTAATACCCCTCACCCTGCGCACCTGCGGGAACCCTACACATACACCTGTCACTTAACGATGCCTCTGATTAAGCAGAGGCGACTTCTCTTATTAAATCACAGCCCTAGAGCATACATCTTTTTAATATTCTGTGTGGCAAATGGGTAGCTCTCGCACAAAGCGCTTGTACTACCCGCAGCAGGGTGGCCGTGGTCGTGAAGAAAAACGTATGCTTGATTATTTATTTTTTCGGTTGCAATGAGAACTAGCTGCCTTTATTGCGGAACATTGTTTCCTTTCCTTACAAAGAAAAAATGTATGTATAAAAAAATAAAAACCCCAACAAACGATGGTTATTCAAACTTGATTAGTTAGCAGAGATTTTCTTGTGAATGAGTAAGTTAGATCTGTCACTCCAAGGAAAATAACTGATAGCCTTTGTTGCAAAAGGCAAAAATTCAAGCTTTCAGACACAAATTAGAGATGCCAGAAAGCCAGTGTGGCCACACCCAAGGGTTGGACGGCTGTCAGGCACTGAGAGGCTTTTATCCAGACTTCCCGTGACCACAGTTAAGATCGTTTTTCAAGTGTTATAGAAGGAGGTGTGCCAACCATTTAGAAAACTGGGTAACTCGGTGAACTGATCTTTTCTGAATAACTAATCATCCTGAAGTTCTAAGGTCACACATGGGTAAAGGACCCATTCAAAGTGTAAGAGAGCATGAAAGGTTTTAATGTCACAGTAGGAAAAGTTCGCTGACATGTTTGCATGCGACTAGCACCCCACCCCACCCCCAATCCCACACAGGCTTGGGTGAAACTGGCTAAGTAGTCAAGGATGACCTTGAACTCCTGCCCCTCCTCCTGCCTCTGCCTCCAAGTGCTGGGATGACAGCGGTGCACCACCAAGTTGAAGTTAACGCAGTGCTGGGGACTGAGCAAGCACTCCATCGACTGAGCCGCATTTAGCCTCCTACTACTTTCCAGAAACTACTTACTGTGGGGTTTTTGTTTTTGTTTTATTCTTACCTTTTTGGGGGTCCACCATCCAGCTCCCAAATAAGTACACAGAGACTTATTCTTACTTATGAATGCCTGACTTAGCTTGGCTTGTTTCCAGTTAGCTTTCCTTGAATTATCCCATCTATCTTCTGCCTCTGGGGGTTTCACCTTTCTCTATTCTAGATACCTTTATTTAATTCTTACTCCATGGCTGTCTGTATGGCTGTGTGGCTGGCTGTGTGGCTGGCTGTGTGGCTGTGTGGCTGTCTGTGTGGCTGACAGTGTGGCTGTTGGTGTGGCTGTGTGGCTGGCTGTGTGGCTGTGTGGCTGTGTGGCTGTTGGTGTGGCTGTGTGGCTGGCTGTGTGGCTGGCTGTGTGGCTGTGTGGCTGTGTGGCTGGCTGTGTGGCTGTGTGGCTGTGTGGCTGGCTGTGTGGCTGTTGGTGTGGCTGTGTGGCTGTGTGGCTGACTGTGTGGCTGTGTGGCTGTGTGGCTGTGTGGCTGTGTGGCTGTGTGGCTGGCTGTGTGGCTGACTGTGTGGTTGACTGTGTGGCTGTGTGGCTAGCTGTGTGGCTGGCCCCTGGTGTCCTCCTCTCCTCCTTTTTTTGCTCTTCTCTTTTCTTGTTCTTATTCTCTCTGCCTGCCAGCCCCGCCTATCCCTCTCCTGTCTAGCTATTGGCTGTTAGACCAATCAGGTGTTTTAGGCAATCAATGTATCGCAGCTTCACTTCACAGAGCTAAACAAATGCGGCATAAAAGGATGTAGCACTTCTTTGCGTCATTAAAATGAACTTTCCCAGCATAAACGAATGTAACCCCTCTTAAGATAATATTCCACAACAGCTGCCAGTTGTTCAGTTTCGATCTAGTGTTCAGAAAGAATTGTCTACAGCAAGCAGAGAAAGTTACGGAAAGCCTTTGGTTCTATGTTTGATGGTGCTGGGGGTAAAACCCAGGGCCTGTGCAGGCTAGGCACTCAACTACTTCTCCAGCCACAAAGAACACTCTTGGGGCAGTGAATTGGCTCACTGTGTAAAGATCTCACTGCCGGGTTTCACGATCCAAGTTTGACCCACAGAACCCACATGGTCAATAGAGAGAACCAACTCTTACAGGTTGTCCTTTGATCTCTACACACGTGCTGTGGCAAGTCCAGACACAAACACACAGACAGACAGAGAGACAGAAATATTACCTGTGGTCTTCCCTGAACTGGAGGCATGAAGTCACGTGGGTTACAGCAGTTCTGATGGAGTCGCCCACCAAAATTCACCGAGTCTCCATCCTGCCGATTCTGTTTAAACTATTATGGCCTGGTCTAGAAATAGTCTGAACTTATACTGGCTGTGGTTGGTCAGTGCTTGAAGGACATAGTCTTTATTAAATTGGACTAGGTCACTGGCCTTGAATGGATTTTTCAAGACCATCTACCCAGTGGAAGAGATCATGCTAGCTCTTTGTACATTTTTTTTTAAATGTTGGCTTGATTTTTCAAGGCTGAGTCTCACTCAGTAATCCTGACAGGCCTAGAATTTGCTATGTAGACCAGTCTGGTCTGGACCTCACAGAGATCCTTTAGCCTCTTTCTCTTAGATGTTGGGGTTAAAGTGGTATGTTAAATACTAAGCCAAAAAAATTTTTTAATCCTCAAAAATAATGCTTTAAGTATATGTCTATTGGTCAGGGCTCTCTAGAGGAACAGAACAGACAGATGATAGATAGATAGATAGATAGATAGATAGATAGATAGATAGATAGATAGATAGATGATAGATGATAGATACATGGATGATAGACAGACAGACAGGCAGACAGAATTTATTCCAGTGGCTTACCGGCAACGACCCAGCTAACAATGGCTGTCTCCCAGTGGAAAGTCCAAGGACCCAGCAGTTGTTCAGTCCATGTTCAGTTCGGTGTGTGGCGGAATTCCAAAGAATCGGGGCTGTAACGTCAGTGAAATGAGAGCGAGCACAAGCAACCACAAAGCAATAGCTTCTCCCACCTGTCTGAGTCAGGGCTTCTGTTGCTCTCAAGAGACACCACGGCTGTGGCAACTCTTCCAAAGGAAGCATTTCACGGGGGTGGCTCACTTAAGAGTTTCAGAGGTTCAGTCCATGGCAGAGAGCACGGCATGCAGGCAGACGTGGTACTGGAGCTGACGGTGCTTACGTCTTGACTCGGGGGCAACAGAGAGTCAACTGACCGGCACACTGAGAGAAGCTTGAGAAATAGAGCTCTCTAAGCCTGCACTTCCTCCAACAAGGCCACGCCTCCTAACAGTGCCACGCCCTTTGGGGGCCATTTTCTTTTGAAGCACCACAGGGTCCTAGTCCTTTATAGAGGCTGTCACGAAAAGGCATGGCCCACATTTAGGGTGGGTCTTCCCTTTTCAGGTGATGTTGATTTAAGGTATGTCTTCCCACCTCAAATGATTCAGTTAGCTAAAAAAAACCTTCATAGGTGTGCCCTGTGACTTTAAGTTAATTCCAGATGTATCAAGAATAGCCATCACAAACTATATTTTCTATATAAAACCAGATTTTCTCCATAGGCCACTACAACAGAAAGGACACACCGGCTGAACTCAGAAAGTGATGTGAAAACAGCTGTTTTCAATTAATTCAGACATTTAGAAAATGCTGCCATTAGCTTGTTTGGGGAGAGCTAGCTGCATTTCGTAAAAATACTCATGCCAAAATTTACTGTTTTTTTTTACTGTTCATATTTTTTAAATGAATTACAAACACGTAGTTTCAAATCCCTTGGTCTTAATTTCTGATACGAAAATGTTGATTTGTGTAACCCACATCTGTAAAGATCTCTTCAATTATCAATATTTCTTGAGGCTTTGGAAGAATCCTCTGATATAAATGTTTAAGAACTGCTGGAATCGATTATTTTGCAGTAACCTAGTTTTTTCATTTTTTGAATTCCAGGGGCTAAACGTGGCACATGTTCATCTCCCTCTCTCAGGCTTAATCAGTCGCACCAAAGACAGCTGGCCCCTCAGTGCTGACCCGGCAGTCTTTAGGACTCCATTTTGTGGATCTGCTTGCTGTTTCAACACCGTAGAGCAGAAAGCTTGAGCAGGGCAAGCCGGCCCTTCTCTTTTCAGACGGGTCATTTCTAACAGCTCACGCAGCAGAGCTGGTCACACGACTTTATCCAACTGTAAGTGGACTTGGAAATGTGAGAAAGCTTGCAAAGATTTGGAAAGCGGCACACGGCTCTAACGGGTCCAGGCAGAGAACTTGTAGTGAGAACCTGAACCCCCACGGGGACAGGATGGTGACGTCTCAGATCCAGTGAGATGAAGCCGAGACCTGGGCTGAGGAAACAGAGTCCAGACTCTGTGAACCTGCCTCAAAAAACTCAGTCTTATTGGATGGGGAAAGGATTGGTGATAGTGGCTGACTTTATCTTTTGAAGGATCTTGGAGGCTGTGAAAGAAAATAAATACAGAGGAACGGGTTGTATGGAAGACGTGGTCTAATTTCCATCTTTGTTAATGCTAAGTTGGCCAATTGGAAGTCATATAATGCCAAGGTCAAGAAGACCTGTGAGGGTTCTGTTTTGTTTTAGCCACATTTTTATTTTATGTTTTGCGATGTAATTTAGGTCTTAGCTATTTAAACAGAACCTGCTATTGAAAGGTTCAGGCATTACACTGGCCTGCCCTGTTACCTGGCAGGATGCACTCAGGCAGCACTCTGGCCAGCCCAGAGTTCTGTGAGAACCACGCAGGTGCAAAGGACCCCTTTAAAAGACTGACCCCTGCCTGCTTAAGCTCTTACTCTTTTACTCTCGTCTTCCTCTCCATCTCATCTTCTCTCTCTCTCTCTCTCTCTCTCTCTCTCTCTCTCTCTCTCTCTCTCTCTCTCTCTCTCTCTCTCTCTGTCTCATATCTTATCTCTCTCAGCTCTGCACGGGTTGGTTACCTCTCACCCCCTTTCCCTCCCTGTCTACCAATAAAACTCCACATGGGATCGTTGAGTCACGGTTTGTGTCTCGTTACTGGGTAAACCTAGACATTTTAACAACATTGGTTCCCTGACCAGGAACCTAGACATTTTAACAACAGCTATCACTGAAGCAACGGCATTAGTCAGGAGGCTTGCCTAGACGTAAATGACTGCATTGTACAGGTTTCCTTCCTTTGAACACAAAGTCAAAAGCAACCCACAGTCTAGGTGTTTCAGTGGCCAAACTATTGGCCCCAATTTACAAATACAGTACCACTGTCTCTGAACAGCAAGATTGTCCAGCAGTTGCTATGAAATGACAGAAATGGCACAGCCGTTCTTCCCACCCACCCATCCATCCGCCCACCCACCCACCCATCCACCCATCCATCCATCCATCCATCCATCCATCCACCCATCCATCCACCCATCCATCCACGCACCCACCCATCCATCCATTCACCCACCCATCCATCCATCCACCCATCCATCCGCCCATCCATCTATCCATCCATCCATCCGCCCATCCATCCATCCATCCACCCTCCCACCCACCCACCCATTCATCCATTCACCCACCCATCCATCCATTCACCCACCCATCCATCCACCCATCCATCCACCCATCCATCCACCCATCCATCCACCCATCCATCCACCCATCCATCCATTCACCCACCCATCCATCCATCACCCACCCACCCATCCATCCATCCACCCATCCATCTGCCCATCCATCCACCCATCCATCCATCCACCCTCCCACCCACCCACCCATCCATCCATCACCCACCCACCCATCCACCCATCCATCACACACCCATCCATCCACCCATCTTTCTATTAGTTTTCCTAGTCTTCCCTCCAGGACAAAAGCCTGAGCCTCTGTCCCTTACAGATCACCAAATGCCTCCTCCACTGTGAGCTCATCTCTCCAGAGCCATGTGTGTAAATATTCCAGCGTAAGCCCCCTTCCACCAGGTGCTTCAATGAGGGAGGTCCCAGAAAAAATGCTAGGAAGGCCTTGCCTGGGTTTTTAGCCCCTTCCCAGTTACGCAAAGTCACAAGAGGGAAAAACAGTTAAAAAGATCATGTAAACTAAGATCGTGAAAAACGTTTGCAGGCTTGTGAAGTGGACGGGAAATCTCAGCTTTTCCCCGGCCTGCTCCAAAGGGAACCAGACGGCTGTCTCATGGGGACAAGGCTGGTGTGAATCTCCCCATCCCCGAGGCTGGTGCTCAAGTGGACCTGTGCCCTGTGGCTTGTAGCAGCAGCAGAGAACCGAGCTCCTCACCCACCCGTCAGCGAGTTCACCCAGGTTTTTCTTCCTCCAGAACAGAGAAGAACAGCTTGCCATACCTGAGCTGGCACCTGGTTGCTGCTATTTAAATAACGGCTCTAACACAACAGGCGTAGTTCAGGGTCTGGCAACCAACCCCCAGCCTGAATCAGGCCGTATGGATTTAATTAAATATATTTTTTTATTTAAAGAGCTTGGCTGGCTCAGAGTAGCAATATCTTTCTTTCCTCTCTTACTCTTTCTTCCCTTTCTTCCTCTCTCCCTCTTTCTCCATCCTCTTCCTATGAGGCTACAGGCTACCATTTTCCTCAGCTGTCTTCCTCCTGCTGGGACTGTATAAGTCCCTCATAAACAGAGTAGGATTCCACGGTGCTGCCGCGGGGAAGGATCCCACTCTCCTGGCTCTACCTGCCAAGCAGACAAACAAAACCTCCGTTAGTCACTCTCAAATCACTGTGACAGAGGCACCGAGAGAAACGACTTAGGGGCCAAAAGATTTAATTCCTTCTCATAGTCAGAGAGGGGCCAGCCATCTTGGTGGGGAAGGCTGAGCTGTTATTGTTTACTCCTCTGTTGTTGTGATAAGGCACAGCCCTACAGCCACCTGGTGGAGGGAAGGTGTTTGGCGTTCATGTCATCAAGGGAAGCCGGGACAATCATCCGAGGCAGGAGCCTGGAGCTGGGAACTGAAGTAGACACAAGGAGCAGAGCAGCTTCCTGGCCACTTAGCTCCCTTTCTTACACAGCCCGGGTCCTTTTGCCCGGGAATGGCACTGCCCCCTGTGGGCGTGGCCCCCTACATCAGTAGCAATTAAGGAAATACCCGGCTCAGCTGAGGTTCCTTCTTCCTGGGTGTGTCGAGGTAACACCTAACTCAATTGTGACCCGTAGTCCGCTTTGTAAAATGATGGTGCAGCGTGCTCGTCCGGAAGTGGCCGGGGTAACTCAAGAACCCACCCTTTCAGGGACCTACTTCTCCCATCCAAGCCTCGCCTCCCCAAGGATTCGGGAACCTCCCAAATGGTGCCACCTGCCGGGAACAGAACATTTGAAACTTGGGACTGTGGGAGATCTTTGGAACACAAGTTGAAAGACCTCCCAAAGAGAAGGCAGACACTCATGTCGGTACAGGGTTCGCGTCTCTGTCCCCATTCAAACCGTGGTGTCAGGTACCCAAGCATTCAAGGGAACACTGGCTGAGGCAGCCAGCGTGGCAGAAGGCTACAAGTCCTGGATAGCATCATTTGCTGAGAGTCTCCCTTGAAACAGGTCAGAAACATGAGACGGAGGAGCATGGACTTAACATTTCTGTGTTTAGACATGCTGCTCTTTCATTCTTTTTTTTTTTTTTTTTGTTTTTTTTGTTTTTACAAGACAGGGTTTCTCTGTATTGTTTTGGAGGCTATAGGTCCAGCCCAGCCTCGAACTCAGAGATCTGCCTGCCTCTGCCTCCCGAGTGCTGGGATTAAAGCCACCCCCCGGCTGCTCTTTCATTCTTAAATTCCCTGAAACCGCTAACAGAACAGAAGACCTGAAGACAAAAGAAAAGTCGTCTTCTGTTGCTGAACGGCTGAGTCCAAGTCTCTGGCTGTGTCACCACAAGTACAGGGAATGGGCTAGGAGGACGGGGTTTAATATATATATATTATATTTCCCCCTGGGATTTTGTTCATTTTTTGGTGCCGGAGATCAAATTCATGGCCTCCCTAGGCATACAAATTACCCCGAATGTACACCTTCAGTCCCTAAAGATACTCTGATATCAATGTTGCCTGTTGGTCGGCCGAGAGGACAGTCTCAGGTTCCTCCTCCACAGGTGATGCTGACCTTGTCTTTTGGTGGGTCTCTCACTGGGACCTGGGGCATGTTGTTTAGGCTAAACTGGTTTACCGTTGGGATCTGGCTATCTCTGCCTCCCCGGGGCTGACATATACCATCATGCCCAGCTTTTTTACCCGGGTTCTTGGGATTAAACTGAGGACCTCAAGTAAGCACTTTGCTAACAGCTATCTCTACAGCTTCCCTCTGGGCTGCCTTCCCCAGGAAGACTACTCTGGGCAGAGGTTCAGAGTAGCCTGCATCTCTGTTGTGAATTATGAGTTTTCTTGTTTACCTGTCAGTGGGGTTTGGTTGTCAAAGCA